GCACTGCTGTTAGCTAGTGTTGCAGGTGGAAGTGAGCTGGATATTGAAGCCAATAGTGAAATCAGGTTTGACCGATGAAAAGGATGGGACACTGGCAGGGTGACAAAGGAAAGCTTGCTGCTGCTGAACGCTTTAGGCCTTACTCAGGAAGCCTTCACTCACTCTGAAAGTCTATAATAAATCTCTAACAGATACTTAAAATTAGTGATGAACGTAGAATGATCCAGTTGACACCACCTGTGGTTCAAATTGAGCTCTGAGCGGTTTGCCATGCGAATTGGTGTCTGGAAAGTGCATTTTGGCCACTTGTAATGCATCTGCTAATGTCATATGTGGCTATGAATAAAATGCCAATTCACGTTAGAAGTCCTAGGAGATATTAGATAAAGGAAAACTGTATGCCTCTCCTTTTAATCAAAAATATCATTAGATATATTTAGGGCACTTGTCGTCTCTCTTGGTTACCAAAATAACAGCAACCCTAGTTTGTTCATATCATATTGTCTGGTTTGAAGCTTTCACACATTTTGGCCGTGGCATGGTACAAGCAGCAGGGTTCTGAATAGGGATGTTTAGAATAACCTAATGTCACTTTCAGTCTGGTTGTATGTATGTTCTTGTCTTTATAAAAGGCTTTAACCCTGCCTCAAACAATAAACAGCACTTGCAAACTGACCGCATAATTTTTCCATCTTTATTTTGCTTGTTTACTTTTCCTAATGTCAAAACCATTTGTATCATTTTCAGGAGTGTTTTCTTCCCAGCAAAGCTTTGGAGACAAAAATATTTTTGGAATGAGGTGTTATCAAAGTCTCTTCCATTTTGGTTTTGGTTTTCACTTGGGGGATTATATACCTACAGTTGAATATGGTAAAGCCCTAATTAAAATTTGCTCAAAGGGAATTCACACTATATGTCACTGATTCTGGAAAATTCAAAGGATAATCTATGAACAATTATTTTATATAACTAACATGTGTTAGGATATTATTTACAAACAAATGTGGATGTTTATTATTGTTTATGCTAACGTAATTATTTTTTAATATGTGGAGCATTTTATTTTCAGGTGTCTTTGCTGATGTTCTGTTTTAAGAGATGGCAAACTTGTCAAACCCGAGGCTGCTATCTCTACTTCACTCCTTCCTCAGTGGGAACTGTGCCTGAATTTCTTAACTGAACTAAGTATCGTTTAGGATGAAAATTGCAGTAATCTACAGTAAGAAGAGATTCCACTCTCTCTCATTTACTCCCCCTTCTCCATACATGGTACATCTTTCCTTCTCAAGATTAACCTAGCTTTTAAAAATAAAAAAAAAAAAATCCCTACAAAGCTATAAAGATTTTTAAATGTGTCTCTTTCTAAGGAACCACTGCATTCTTAGTTCTTTGTGTTGTCACAAGAAAAATTTTGGCCAGCCAAGATTCTTTGTGGTTAATGAGGTTTGAGATCCAAGGTGTGCTTGAATAAGTAATCTTCATATACTACAATCAAACTTCATTCTTATGTTCAGTCTTGTGATGACCAGTACTTTGGGTTTTGGCAGACATCATGTCTTCACAAATGAAGACTGAGATGAATGGTCGTACTAGGAGCTGCCTGTAGCAGCTGTGATGAGTGCATGCCTAACTTTACTGAAAATGTTAATTCCTAACCTTTTAATTAAAAATAAGAAAAAAATTCTACACTACAATATTGGCGTGAAATTTTAAAGATAAATTACCTTCAGTGAAAATCCTACTGTTATGGATACACAGACCTAACTTTAGAGCAAACTGGCTCTAATTGCATGAGTTGCATGCATAAATGATTTATGGGATTGATGCAAGTCTGTTACTACAGAAGCCACTTTTTTCTCCTTTGTTACGGCTGAGTCTCACAATACTTATTCTACTATTTGCTTTCTTCAGACCAAGAGTCCCTTTGAAATCAATGTTATTATCCATGAGAGTTAGGGTTACTAGTATTGGAAGGGTGGTATGCAGCTCCCTTTTTAATACATTTTGTTCTCTGAGCAGAGGATTACGTGATTGCTGAATGTTCAGTTCTCACATCTCCTTTGCAAATGAAAAATCACTGCATGTTGCTGTTCTGTTGCTCCCATTTAAGTCAGAAGAAACAAACCAACCTGTCTGTGCTTTTGAAAATTCTTTCTGTAAATTACAGGGTTCGCTTGCTGCCAGCGGATATATTAATATTTTTTATTCCTGCCTACAATATGAGTATGTTGGGAAATGTTTACCCCCAGCAGAACTTTGCTAGATGCAGCCCTTGCGGTGAGGTTCTGAATCAGCCCATTTTATACTGACTCAGACTGAGCCTTACCACATATTTCTTCTTTATGTGGTGTGATAGTTGGCACATGAGTCTCTGCTTGCCCAGTTTGAGAAAGTTTATCCTCTTTACTCTGTGTGCAGCTGTCTGTCTGCTTTGTTAAATGGTTGGCATATGTGAGAGATGAAATTCAGCTTTCCAGAGGTGTATCCATATAGGCAAGATTGAGGCTGTATGTTTGGCATTTGGATTTCTAAGTATCCATTTGCAGGTTCGGTGGGGGGAATCCGACAGTGGATCGGATGGTACGAAGTCAGGGGTCTTGCCTGGCTTGCTAGCTGCTGGCCCCTGTTCCTACAGAGCTCTGGCTGTGTCCTTGTCTGCTTCGATTGCTGTGTCATTGCTCTGCAAGCAAGTGGTGGCACAAAATAGGTAAGTGCTCCGCTCTTGTTTTCGAAGTGAAATTTCTGCTTCGCTGCTTGTAGTATAACAATTGAAATGCATGTTTTGCTTCCTCAGTGTTTTTATAAATACGCCTGGTAACTGTTACATCTCGCTGATGAGTCTTTTTCTGCGGTTTAGTTAAAATCCAGTTTCTGCGTTCCTTTCTACTCCTAATAAGGGGAATAAAACAAAACAAACAAGATATGATTGTGAGAAAACCACCATCTAAAGATGCTACTGTGGGACCATGCCTACGCTAACAGCTCTGTGTGACAGGTAAGCATTGCTACACACAAACACGTCTAAGTGGCTTGAAGGACCGAGATGTCTTATGCCTTCTGGTTTGGAGCCTTCTTGGAGTTAGCCTGAGACTGTGAACCACTGATATATAGCCTTTGATTTCCTTATGCCACTCTAGCGGTATTAGGTGGTTAGAGAATGTTGTCTTACCTACAGTTAATGCTCATTTTACTTGTAATAACATCCGAATAACCTACCAAGATCTTGGATTATATGAGAGTTAGGCCCAAGAAAAATGGCTTCTTCCAATCATTTATAACCTGTTCTTAAGAAGTCTTAAGAGTATTTTCTTTGGCGTTTGCTATGAGAATGTTCAGGTTATACCCAGCACTCCTACTTCATCAAAGCTGGTTGAATTAATATATTTTCCATATGTGGTACTAAAGCAGCTGAATCTTTCTGAAAGTTACCTTTTAGGTTAGGTGACTCTGATGGACTTGCCTCTGGTGGTGTTGTCAACCTGAAGCTGACCCTTTCTTAGAGTTGCTGACAGTTAGATTAAGGTTTCAGATCAGGATTTTCACAAGCCTTCAAGGAGCAGCTATTTGTAAGGACAAGCTAAGTCGTGGTCATGGCACATTCACAAAATATCATCATCATCTCAGCATCCTCAGCATTTTAAGGGAACAGCATCATGGAAAATATGTTTAGTTCTAGGTTAGTTGTGTTCATAGGTTTTAATGTAAAATACATTCTACGTTATCACATTACATGCAGTGTTTGGGCTGAGAGAGCAAGTTGCAAGACATGTTCAGAACATCCTCCCAGCACAAGTTTAAAATTCCTTGCAAATATTTTTCATTCTGCTTGAAAGTTCTGCTGCCAATTTAAAAACAAAACTTAAAGTCAAGGTTTCTTAAGCCTGGTTATATCTTAATCCAGAAGTTTTTTAACAGATCGTCTCATCTCTTATCCACAATTCCATAGATCCTCTTAGAATAGAAATAAATCTGTATGGTATTATAGTTTTATTAATAAAACATATAGAAAGGAATCTGTTTGGAAATGTCAGTGTTATATGTACGTTTTAATTCAGTATTGTATTTGGAATTAAAGAGGACCTTCATAGGACCTCTTCAGATCATACTCTGGAGAAAATCAGTGGCAGAAGAGTGCGGCTTAATAAATTCTATATTACTTTCACATTTGAGTGGGGAAAATGAAATAAAGAATATCAAGGTAACTGTGCTTGATATTACTGGTATAACTTTTATCTGTAATTGCCCTCCTACTTTTGAATTAACACTGTTTTTACAATTGAATATTTAAGATTCAATACAGGGAAGACAAAGGAAGGAGATTTCCGAAGACAATCTGCTTATTCATTTTATAGGCTTCTCTGATTTTATAAGACCTTTGAAACAATGTGTGCACTCAATTATCTATCATTCAGTGTATCTACCGAGTAAGCAGACAGTTGTGGACTTCAGGGAATTTTCAAACACACGTGCTGTTCAACCTTAGCAATTTTCTTTTACCTAGGAATTGTTTTCAGAAATTCCAATATAATGAAATTTCTGTTTAAGTTGATAGCTGTAAATGAGGGCACAGTTGCTTCATTTCCTTTTGACAATAAGCCAAATTCATCCCTGGTGGAGCTCCATTGATTTAACTCTACTTGAGCTAAGCTACACTGGGGATGAATTTGGCCCAGCTTGAGATTTTTTTATTCATCTTTTCTTTAATTTCCTTTAGCTTAGTAGTCGATTTAGAGCTGGTCAGAGGATTACAATGCAGGAGAGGGGAAAAGCAAAACTTCTCTGCTCAAGAGTCATTTCCTTTTTAATAC